GGTACTCCCAAATGGCGTGCGCGGAGGGGTAGTTATGGTAAGTTTTGACGAGCTCGGAAGGGGTAGTGCCGACGAAGACGCCAATGATAGCCGCGTCGGCTTGCTCCCACACGCTGTAAGACTCCTCATACTTGGACATGGATTCCTCGTGCGCTTTTGACTCTTCCTCTGTGGCCGTGGCTGAGAGCTTCTTGGGAAGGACCGGCATCTTTCCTTTGCCGCGATTGAGGAGGACATCCTTAAGGCAAATCCCCTCAATCTTGCGGCTTAGGAGATGCTTGTCAACCCCATAGCTCCACTCCTTGAAGTTAGGGCTTAAGCCATTTGGGTCGAGGCGCAAGGGAGTGATCGGGTTTGAGAGAGACGCGGAAGGGTACGCCATGATGCTCTAAGGACCCTAGCTCCGCGCGAAGCGCAGCTCTTAAGTCGCCAGATTTTCTTTTGCGGATTTTCAACGCTCGGAGAGCGAAAACGGCCGATTGAGAAGGAAATCTGATCGCCGAAGTCTTTATCAATTCTCGATATGCTGCTGCAATCCCGCTGCTCCGCGACCACCCCCCTTTTCCCTTTTCCGCTTCGCCGCTGCCCCCTTTCCGCTTCGCCGCTGCCCCCTTGTCCGCTTCGCCGCTGCACCCCCCCGCTGTTGCAAGGGCGACGGGCGACAGCCCGTCCAGCTTCGACGAGCAGATGCGGGGCGACGGGCTCAGCCCGATCAGGTGCGACGAGCAGATGCGGGGCGACGGGCTCAGCCCGATCAGGTGCGATGAGCAGATGCGGGGCGACGGGCTCAGCCCAATCAGGTGCGATGAGCAGATGCGGAGCGACGGGCTCAGCCCGATCAGGTACGACGAGCAGATGCGGGGCGACGGGCTCAGCCCGATCAGGTGCGACGAGCAGATGCGTGGCGACGGGCGTCAGCCCGAAGAGAAGTGCCGCGCTGAGTTGAGGCGACTAGAAATGCTTTGCGTCGTAAGACGCAAATGCTAAGCTCCAACGGAGCGAGAGGATCAAGAGCCGCTTAGGCGAAAACGAGCTCTGATACCACATCAAAAACTGAGAAGTTGATTAATTGAAATGAGCAAGAGCATACATCCTTAAGTACCGAGCATCGGAGAGGATGGCAAGGGATAAGGGAGAATCGAAGGGAATCCCAAGGGAATCCTCCCAAATCGTGAGGATTTGGGATGGATTGGGTTGGGATAGGTTGGGGATGAAAACATAGCTACACCCAACCTAACAAATTTGTGTATCCCTAAAACCAACAAAGTGCCAACACACAAAGTTGTGTTAACCGAATTGCAGCCTATCTCTAACAGACTCTGCCGCCAATCTTGCTGACATCTTCACCAAAGCCCTCCCCCATGCCGCCCACTCCTCCCTCCTTCGCCTTCTTGGCCTCGCTCCCCCCGTTCCCTCGTCCGCCTCTTGATTCACGAAATCTAGTCTTATGCATGTTGGGGGGTTGTGTTGTAAAATATATATCTATACAACATGCATGCCTAGATCAGGAGGTGTAGTCATTATATTTATTGGGGGGTTGTTGGTTGGGTTGACTAACCCCACATTTGGGTTGGTCAAGATTGGATTTGGTCCTAGACATTTGGTTGGCACTATTCCAACCAAATGGTCTTTGGTCCGAAGACCCAACCAATCACCAAGCACCACACTTTGTGGTTGCTTACCTTCCAAGCAACCTCCCCCATTGGTCCACATTGTGACCAATCGGAGAGCACCACACTTTGTGGTTGCTTGTCCTCCAAGCTACCTCTCCCATTGGTCTACATTACGGCCAATGGGAGACTTTCCCCTCCATCTCTTCCTTGCTCCAATGTTTGTACAATAGAGCCTCTTGGCTCCCTACTCAAACCATCATTTTCTCCTCAAAGCTAGTTCCTTCATGCCGAGCCTGGCTCGACTCGGCTCGACCAGACCCGGCTGCCCCAAAATGGTTGGCTCGACTCGGGGGTTCAGGGTCGAGCCAAGGGTCGGCTCGACTTTGGCTCGGCTCGGCTCGACTCGCCAAAAGGGTTTCTCCTGCAGGTTTTGAAAAGGTCTCGATAGATCGCTGTAAAGGTTCTGCGGATAAAGGTCCCTAAGCCCTTACATCCTTCCTACAACATCAAAAAGTAGTCGAAAAAAATCTAAAGCAGTGGTGTTGGTGGAGAGACGGCAAGCTAGGGTGGCAAAATATCTCAGATGTACGCTTAGGCTCGATGGCGAAAACCTAGAATGGATTGTCAACTTCCAGGGGGGTCGAATTTTGACCCCCCACGGGCGAGCCGCGCGCTTCGAAGTCGAGCCAAAGTCGATCCGGCTCGACTTCGGCTCGCCCTGAAAATTACAACAAGTCGAGCCAAGCCGCGCGGCTCGACTGGCTCGACCCGGCTCGACTTGGGGCGAGCCGGCCAAAAAAAAAACCCGGCTCGACTGGCCAAAGAGGCGTGTCGAGTCAAGCCGAGTCGAGCCAGGCTCAGCATGCTGCCCATGTCTACCTGGCCGGGTACCCTGAACCGACCAAACAGGTAATTTTCAAGAACACCGGTACCTGACCTGCCCTAAAAGCGGATTCGGGTCCGGTAGGCTTGAGCAAAACCGGGTAATTACCCGACCCCACCCGGTTTTGCAATACCCGTCCTCGGGTCGGGTATTTTCGGGTCGGGTCCGGGTCGGGTAATATGCCCAGGACCCTTCCCCGGACCCGACCTTAGGGGACGGGTAATACAATACCCGCCTGGCGGGTCCGGGTACACCCGACCCGGTTACCCTGAAAAGCGGGTAATACTACCCGCCACCTACTAGTGGACATCATAAAGCTGGGCTAGGCTATGTAGGGTTTCTGAAAACGCGACTCTCAAATGAGAGTCACGTTTTCTGGGGGTCGAATTTTGACCACCCAATTCCCTCCCTTTCACCGCACTGAACTCCTCCCCGTCTACAAACTCCAATTTCCATCCAACCAAACTCCCTCCCTTTCACCGCACTGAACTCCTCCCCGTCTACAAACTCCAATTTCCAACCAAACTCCTTCCCTTTCACCGCACTGAACTCCTCCGTCTACAAACTCCAACATTTCCAACGAAACTCCCTCCCTTTCACCGCACTGAACTCCTACCCATCTACAAACTCCAACCTCTTCTCCAACTCCCAACCAACTCCCTCCCTTTCACCGCACTTAACTCCTCCCCATCTACAAACTCCAACTTCTCCTCACAAATGCTCCATTTGTCCCCCCTCACCTCCAAATCCGTTTTGCCGCAAAACCTAAAACACAGCGCGACTTACGCCCATGTCTAGCTGGAATACCCGACCTCGGGTATTATTTACCCGACCGGGTCGGGTACCCGTTACCCGACACGTCGGGTAGCATTTCGGGTAGCGGGCATTGAATACCTGCCCGGGTAACCCGGACCCGACCCGCCGGGTAATTTTCAGGATTCCCAATACCGGACCCGCCCTAAAGCGGATCTGGGTCCCGGGTACCCAACCGGGGCGGGTAGTTTGCTCAAGCGACCCGGTCCGGGTACCTGACCTGAGCCGTGCGGGCATTTTGCTCAAGCCGCAGTTGAACATTTAAGAGGGGAACGTTGGGAGTTGTAGTTTCTGCGGTGAGGTTGCGTTTGATGGAGGGGAGGGAATTTGGTTGGAAGTTGGAATTTAGTGAGAAAGTTCGAATTCGCGACTTGGCGACAAACCAGTCGAACTCGCCAGATCGCGAAGTTGTGAAATGTATTTTCACTAAGTTTTTGGGGGCTGCCCGATTTTTTTGGCTGAGCGTATGACGCTTTCCTAGCGCATAGCATATTGTGTATACTCTAGCTTATATACGCAACACGTTGGCATTGCGTATCGTATTGTGTCATGTAGGCAAGGTTAAAAAATACGACGTTTCCCCCCCCCCCCGTCCCCGTATAATACGGTACGGAATTAAACGGCCCTACATTACGAAAATGCGGTTGAAAAGCTGTTTTTTTGGCTTGGTTATAATATAGGGCCGGATGCTACCTAAAAGTAATGAAATGTGCGAATCTGCTATTTCGACCGCCAACCAAAATGTGCCAGGTTTCCTTGGCGAATGAAGTGCGTGGATCTGGCATCTCGCCCAGCGAAATTGCGGATCTGGGGGGAGTGGTGTAGGCTTTCTACAACAAAAAAAAAAGGTTCCAAAGTGTTCTTTTTTTTTTAAATGGCCGGAAAAGGTCGTATTTTACGGTTAGGCTTGAGCAAACTACCCGCCCGGGTCGGGTACCCGGGACCCGGATCCGCTTTTAGGGCGGGTCGGGTATCGGGATTCCTGAAAATTTCCCAGCGGGTCGGGTCCGGGTTACCCGGGCGGGTATTCAATACCCGCTACCCGAAATGCTACCCGACGTGTCGGGTAACGGGTACCCGACCCGGGGGGGTAAATAATACCGGAGGTCGGGTATTGCACCTAGACATGGGCGTAAGTCGCGCTGTGTTTTAGGTTTTGCGGCAAAACGGTTTTGGAGGTGAGGGGGGAGGAGTCTCTCATTTGAGAGTCGCGTTTTCAGAAACCCTTCCTAGCCTAGCCCAACCTTAGGATGTCCACTAGTAGGTGGTGGGTAGTATTACCCGCTTTTCATGGTAACCGGGTCGGGTATACCCGGACCCGCCAGGCGGGTATTGTATTACCCGTCCCCTTAAGGCCGGGTCCGGGTAAAGGTCCTGGGCATATTACCCGACCCGGACCCGACCCGAAAATACCCGACCCGAGGTCGGGTATTGCAAAACCGGGTCGGGTCGGGTAATTACCCGGTTTTGCTCAAGCCTATTTACGGTAGCCTTGCACGTAGACATAAGGTTCCGCACACAGTTGGCATGGGGAGTCGATCCACGTATGAGTCATGGTGCATGCAACTATGACAGCATACATCCAATGCAGTGCTAGGAAATTATGCCTTCATGTGCCATCCCCCCCCCATCATTCTCCCGTTGGCCTTCATTGCCCTCTCTTGCCCTCCCCTCCTTGCTTGCATCCACAGCGATTTGTCCAGCAACCAGCTGACTGGATCCATTCTTGAGTCACCCATGTTCCCCTCTTCTCTCAAGTACCTGTGAGTCATGCCACTTGAACCCAAGCTTATCTTGAGGTGTGTTTGTTACAACATCTCATGCATGCTCTAATTAGGTTGACACCGTGGTTGGGGTTAACCAGTATTAGAGTGTTAGAGCTGGCCTACCTCACTGTGGAGTCCACCATCCACCAAGACAAAACTTGCTAACATCTGTGTGTTGGCCAGCTAACCCACTTGTGTCCGCATGCAGTAGGTTAGGAGACACCTTGTTCTTTTCTGCATGCGGACAGCATGGTCGTTACACATGCACTAGCTGATGGTCCACCAAGCATCTTGCAGGTGCCGTGCAAGGGCCTGGAGTGAGGGCACTGGTGCAGCATGCAGTGCGTTTTGGCTTCATGGCAATGCTAAGCCGCACTTTTCTCCCTCAGCAAAACCTACTATCTGTTGCTGTTGCATTGAAAAGTACTACCGGGCCAGGCATCAGCTTCCATCTTTTCTTTCAGATGGGTACTCATACAAGATGCATTGTACATGATTTGTGTGCTGCACTCCCCAGCGGGCTTAACAGGAACCTTCTGCACGGCTCAATTCCCACTTCACTCGCATCACTGCAGCAGCTTGACCGCATGTAAAGTGCACTCTTTCTTTCTTGTGCCATCGCCATTGTGCTGTTCACTCCTGATCAACTGAGTCTGCTGCACAGCGTGTTACTGAATTTCCCATGGGGTGTTCCGTCCAGTTCATGCTCTACATTCCTCCTGAGTTTCTTATATGCTTCTCACCTTTTTCTGTCCATCTCACTTCATGATGCGTTTCCTTTTTTATTCCGGTGTGCGTTGTCAGTTCACTCATGGCCAACCAGCTGTCGGGAAGCATACCTTCTGCACTGGGCGATTTGCGCCGTATGCGATTCCTGTGAGGCATCTGCGTTGGCTGTGCTTCCTTTTGAATTGGCCCTTCACTACCTTGCCCACCGCGACCAGCATCACATGCCCATTGCGTCCACCATCACATGCCCATTGCCCATTCCACTGAAACTTGCATTGTGCTGCTTGTGCCTCCGTGTCACCAGGTTGTTATCAGGCAACGCATTGTCTGGATCCATCCCCACAGCCATCGGGAAGCTCACCAACCTAGTTGCCTTGTATGTTCATACAACTGGCAGGTTCCCTTTCTCCTCTCTGTCAAGGAATGGCTCACCACTGGGGCCTACTCTGTTGGTGTTTTTGCTGTTTGTGGGCATTGTTTCTGCCGATTGCCCATTCCCAGCATTCGCTAGCTGCACACATCTGATCCGAGCAAGAAGCATGTGTGCGCGGCGCACTGCATGAGCAGGTACCTCCAGGAGAACCAGCTGTATGGAACCATCCCCAGCACCCTCAGCAATCTTTCCAGGCTTGAGCGGCTGTATGGATTTCTCCTGCTATATCCAGAATGTGCTGCATTGCTCAAAGTTGTGTTTCGCCTTCCTTGATTGTCCGGACCGGACTTTCCTTGACTGCCTCACGTGTATTTTCTCCACGTTTGTTGCCTCCTGCAACCACTTCTAACACTCAACTTTCTCATGGCGAATTCCCTCAATGTCATCGCCAATTGCTTCCACGCACTTGCCACCGTGTTTTTTGCGTCCGGTGCGCCCACGTCCTCTGTCTTCCTCCCAACGCTACGATGTGTGTCGCTCAGGGTGGTGGGCATCAACCAGCTGTGCGGCTCCATCGAGCCCATCTTGCGAGCCATGAGGAACCTCACTGTGTTGTGGGTATCACGATGCAAAAGCACTCAAAGCACCCTGATTTATCTCCCGTGTCACAAGCCTACCTACTAAGGGTAGTATATGGTCGGTTTAAGTTCTCTTTCCCCCCCCCCCTACCTCCCCTCCCCCCCCCCGGCCGTGCACCCACCTTTCCTTCTCTTTCACTCGCCTTCGCTCTCCTCCCACTCAATTATTTAGGTCCCTATCAGGCAACCTGTTCTCTGGCCGTCTGCCCAACGCCCCCGGACCAAGCTTGACACAGTACCGAGTGGATGGCAACTTCTTCTCGCACGGCGATGTCAAGTTTACCAACTGCTCGGCGGTCCTGTGGGACACGTCAAAAAACTGCCTTGCTGCTTCCCTGAGCGTTTGCGGCCGCACCTCCACCCAAAGACCCACTGCTGTATGCACTGCATTTTGTGGGGTGGTGGCTGGTTCTGCTAGCCCTGCATGCGGGGGCCATGGCTACTGTGCGCTGAATGCGTTCACTGCCATGGGGGAGTGTACGTGCGATCCCAACTACATGCTCAACAGCAGCAACAGCAACGCTTGCATGCCCGGAGGTGTGTGTTGTTCAAGCCCTTTACAATAGATGTTATTGCGTTAGCTGGCTAAGTAGGCAAGAAGTAAAGTAAGCCAAGCTAGCTTGGCTCGAGCCAGGCTAGGCTTGTACTCCCTCATGGCCGAGCCGAGCTGACTATGCGCCCCACTCGAAGCTCGTGGAAAGTGGACGAGCCGGGGGTTGGCTTGGGTTGAGCCAGCTGGGCTCGCGCTAAACACGAGTAGAGGTGCTGACGAGCAGAGCTGTCAGCTCGGCCACTTGCTCAAGTCTAGTGCGGGCCACATGATCACGATGAATCTCCATGCCAAGGCATGGGCGGAGCTCACCGAGGTCCCTGGAGCGCCGTCTCGCCAGTGGGCAGGTCGGCAAAGTTCCCCAAAAGTTGGTACTGAATCATCAGCATAGGCGGTTTAGCTGTGGGAGGAGTTCCAAGACCACTGGGATTAGAGGTATAGGTAGTGACGCGAAGAAAGACTTGGTTGCCTTCGACAGCATGGTTGAAGGCTACCGTACTGTGCCCCAAAGAAATTCTATGAGAGGGTAAAGACAAGCAGCAAGAGCAGACTGTTGAAAGTTGCCAAAAGCACAACGGAGCGACGAAGACACTAAAAGTGAGGGGGAAGGATGGAGGAAGGGGGAACAAGAAGGGGGCAGTCAAAGTCGGATCAGGTGAAAACTGGGCGCGCCGGGAGTGAAGGAGAGTGGGACTCATCAAAGATGGACATATTACCGCATATGGGCTATGGGGTGGAGGAGAAGTGTCCTGGGAGCCAGCTTGCCAGCCCGGAAGCACCTGTGCGCAAGTTGGCAGCACATGCACGTGCTAGTCGGATGCGCACTGGCGACATGAAAATCAGCGAGGAGAAGAGTGCCAAGTGCCTTACGGCAGTAACACTCGGCAGACCTGGAACACGGATGCAAAGGCAGTGGGAAAATGAGGGTGCACATGCGACGGGCCGGGATCATTGTAGGGGAGAAGGGAGAGCACGAAGATGCATGAAAGAATAAATAGAGATAAGTCGGACATGAATTTGCTTCAGGGATCCATGGCAAGAGCTTAAGGAACACAGGGCTAGAAACTTTGTAGTGTTTTTTTAAATGTCAATGGAATGGGAAAATACAGAAAGCAATGCGTATAACATCTAGAGGTTGTGTGGAATCCAGCTGTACAGAAAATTTAACTGACTTTGTTTGGCCGAACTCCACACTTCAAACTTGGGCTTGAGCTTGCAGAATCAAGAAGAACAAAAACACAGAGTGAGCCACTAGTGTATTCCAACAATAGGTGACACAATCGGAATGAGAACACGTTATTGTATAGGATCCTTGAACCCGATCAGTGCATTCCTCGGATTTCCTCCCTACTGTGTGCCCCCCCTTCCACATCCAGCCGTCGGGGCATCTCTGGAATCGGGCTCTGCCTATGTGTCCCTCCTGGGCTCTGCCTCTGTGCTTTCCAACGGCTCCATTCTGCTCACAGGTGGGGCGCCCAACCAGCAGGGTGCAGCGTTTGCCTCACCTGCCATGCGCCTCTTCCATATCCCCGACAAGCGGTCTCCCTGCGGAACGGAGCTGGGCTTCCTTGCTGCCTTCAGCTTTGCCATGAGTCCCGGGGGGCAGGGGAGGGGTGGAGAGGGCCTTGCGTTTGTGGTGGCAGAAGCTGCTTCTGAAAAGGGGGCGAGTGTGAGGCTGGGAGGGGTGGGGCGGCGGAGTGTTGGGGTGGAGTTTGACTCGGTGCTGAGTGTGAAGCACAGCGACCCCAACGACAACCACGTGGGCGTCAATGTGGGCGGCTCACCTGTGTCCCTCGCCTCTGCCACGGCCCCTCTCATCCTCAACGACGCCCAAACCAAGCACGCCTGGATCCACTACGACCCCACCAGCGGCGGCACTCTCCGAGTCTTCCTCTCCTCCGACCCCATGCAGCCCCTCACCCCCACCCTCACAGCAGGCGTGTCTCTCTGCTCCGTTCTCAAGCCCACTGCATCCGACTCTCTCTTCCTCTTCGGCTTTGTTGCCCTCTCAGGCAGCCAGCCCCAAAGGCATGCCATCTTCTCCTGGAGCTTCACCACAGGTCTGTGAGCTGAGGCCAGCACCTTCTTGTATCCCTGCATGTACCCCCCTAAGCCCATAACTTCCTGTGCAAGACGTGGGATTCGTTCCTGGCTTCACATCTCTCTGCTGAGGTGTTTCACTATGGGTTCACATTTCCATTGTTAAATTATATATTGAGTTATATAATTGTTAGGCTTGGTAGGTTACCGAACTTTACTGTAGAGGGTACAATCCCCTCCTTGTATGCCTCTCTCTTTCTATTCCAATTCTCTTTTCTCTCCTCAACTTTTCTCCTTCCTAAACCTCACGCCACTCCATGGCTCCTCCTAGCTAAATCTCATGCCTTTCCTAGCTTCCTAGCTAAGCTAGCCTTCTAACATGCTATCAGAGCAGGAGGTCCTCCCTGCTGGACCGCCTCCTCACGCTTCCGCCGCGTACTCCTCACCCTCGTTCGCTCGCGCGGCCATGACGGCCGCGTTTTGCTGCAGTGGCGGCGTCGTGATGCCGCTGGCCGCGTCGTGCCGCAGCCATCTCGACGCGATGCCGTGGTGTCGGGCCGTCGTGCTGCCGTCACAGCGTCGACGTCCTGCCTCGGCGTCGACGCCGCTCTGTGACGGCGTCGTCGGGCTGCAGCCGGCAGCGCGACGCCTGTGGTGCCACTAGACCGGCCGCCCGCATGCCAGCCTGTGGGGCCCCCCCCTCCCCCCCCCCCCCCCCCCCTTCCTTCCCCTGTGTCCTCTTCCTTTCCGCAGACGACGGCTGACTCCCGCCGGCCGTCCCACCGTCGCCGCTGGAAAGTGCCGACAACAGCGGCGGCGGCGGCGGCGCCCGCACCTCTTGGTGACGTGACCAGGCCCCGCGACGACGGTGGGACGGCCGCTGTCGCCGCTTGCGTCGGGGTCACGCAGCCGCACGCCGCCGCCGCCGCCGCCACCGCCGCTGTCGACACTGCCGCCGCTGCTGCCGTCGCCGCCGCAGCCCCTGCGGTCGACGTCGCCGCCTCACGCGCCGAGAGGGTCGACCGAGCTAGTGTCGCTGTCACTGTGGCTAGAATGGGGGTGCTAGGTTAGGGGGTGTGGGGGTGTGTGTGGGCTTGTGACTACCAAGCCTAGGGGGTGTGTTAAATTATATATTGAGTTATATAATTGTTAGGCTTGGTAGGTTACCGAACTTTACTGTAGAGGGTACAATCCCCTCCTTGTATGCCTCTCTCTTTCTATTCCAACTCTCTTTTCTCGCCTTAACTTTTCTCCTTCCTAAACCTCACGCCACTCCATGGCTCCTCCTAGCTAAACCTCATGCCTTTCCTAGCTTCCTAGCTAAGCTAGCCTTCTAACACGCACTGCCAACGAGTAACACCCTTGCTTTATCATTGCCCTACCATTCCTGCGCATTCTTTAATAACCATTGTCGTGATGCATGGTGGCCTTTGCCATAATAGGAGTAATGCTATCAGTTTATTTTTACAGTCAATGATCGTCTCCTTTTATAGTAGCTCTTTGTGTTGTGATAAAATCGTACTTAAGCATTTCTGTTAGTAGTTTTGATAGATGTTATCAAGTTACACTGTAGTTAGCATCCGTAGAATGGCGTCAGCAAATAGCGCTCGTCTGGATGGTTACGTCAGCGGGTCGTTTCAGTCACGCGAACAGTTGCGCCCCTTTCAGTAGCGATTAGAGCGCATATCGCAAATAGCCTTGAACAGGTACATTACCGAACAGGTACTTCAAGCAGATATAAAAGTAGCTTGTACGACTTTAATTATCAACTTGTTCTTGAGTAAATTCTGGTCAACACTTACAAGTTCTAAGACTTCCGCTGTCTTACTAGTCTACCATTCCAACAAAGATCCTTGTTCAAGTCTTGAAGTATCGCAAGGCTGTAACACTGACTCTTGTGTTACAACTTGTTAATATTGGTTGCTACTAGAGGTACTTCCAGTATTACTTTCTACTTCAAGTACTTGTGGTTGCAGATTCTATACTTAGTCTCCTGCACCACCTTTCAAATTCTTTCACTTTGTACCAGCTAAAGGAAGGTGGTGATGATTTTCTCATAGACTAGTCAGGTCTCACGAGAGGCATGGTTCGAGTAGCAATCTCATGTTTGCGTACCACATAAAGCTGTCAAATTAGCGAAGTAAACTCTAGCAAGGGCAAATAGGGTGATATAAGGGTTTGGTTCTGTACTCTCTAAGAGCATGAACCCATCTAGCCTAAAACTATGCATACAAAAAATATGTATAAATTGACACACCCTCTAGGCTAGATAAGGGGCAATGCCTAACAAGAGACACATAGCTCACGGCGGCTCTACTAGTCCTGAGGCAGGGGTCCGATCCGAAGACCAGGCAACAAGACTACTAGCTCAACAAGGGTAACTCAGGGCGGCACTACTAGTCCTGCCTCTGAGACGAGCCACAAGGCCAGTGCGGTAAAGAAAATATATGTAGTACATAAGTCAGGGTCCTAACAAGTGAGGAGCTAATGGAACCAGACAAAGCTGTTATCAGTGCCGCTGATGATCTTTAGGCGCAAGCGCCTTCGTAAAGATGTCCGCTATGTTGGTACCGGAAGCCAAGTGTACTACGCGTGCCTGGCGGCGTTGCTATCGCTCGCGCAAGAGAAATTATTGAAGTTGGATGTGCTTCGCTTTGCCCTCTAGTCGAGGCTCCTCATACAGGAGGATTTGGCCCTATTGTCAGCGTACAAGACCGGAGCATAGCTAGGCTGCTTACCTAAGTTTGTGAGCTAGAACGTCAGCCAGCGGAGCTCCTGTGCCGCCATGGCACCAGCGTAGATCTCAGCCTGACAGCTGGACTGTTCTATAGACGACGAGCGGGTGGACCTCCACAAGATAGTGCCTGCACCAAGGCTAAAGCAAGCCCTGAGAGGGCCTGAACGTCTCAGCGTTGTCCGCCCACGAAGCTTCTGTGTGTTCTGTGAGAACCACTGACATGTGTTCTCCTATCACTAGCCCCATGCCTGATGAACTTGCTAGATATCGCAACACCCTCTTGGCAGTCGACCAGTGCTGAGGTCGGTGTCTGCCTATCGCAAAAAAGCATGCGAGAATACTAAGAGGGCATGTGAGATCTGGACGAGTGCAAGTCATCACGTACATGAGGCAGCCCACGAGCTCTACGTACTGGCCACTAGGCTCGACCGGCTCGTCAGGGATTGGAGCTGAGAGCCTCTGATCAACAGGCAGAGGGGTGGGCTGTGTGGAGGAGAACTGAAGGTCGAATCTTTGAAGGACTTGGCACACCAAATGTGACCGTGAGAGGGTGGTGGTGTGCACTGCTTTGTCCCTGGAGATCTATAGCCTGAGGTAGCGGTGTAGCTCTCCTAGGTCAGTGCAGGTGTGTTTCCTCAGCAGTTCGGCCTTCATTGAGGCCAGCGCGTCTCTGTCAGCAGTAGCAAAGACCAGGTCGTCTATGTAGACTAGGAAATGAAACGGAGTCTGGCCTGAGCGAACAAAGAGAGACGGGTCAGCAGTGGACGAAAAGAACTGAAGGTTCACTAGTGTGACACGCAGTGTATCAAGTTACTCATAGGGCGCCTGCCGCAGATCGTAGACCGGGCGCCGGAAGAACCACTCGGTCCCAGGAGGGAAAGATTCAGTGAAGCCTGGCCGGCGGCGCAGGTAGATTCACTTGTGTAGACTGCCTTGGAGGAACGCAGTGGAGAAGTCCAGCGAGTGAAGCTCGTATTCGTGTTGTGCTGCTTTGTGTAGCAACACTTGAAGAGTGGTCATCTTCGGGGTCGGGACGAAGGTCTGGAAGAAGTCAACCCCCTTGCACTGACTGAAGCCTCTAGCAATGTAACGCAACTTGAACATTGGTGGCTCTCCTGGCGGGCGCTTCACCTTGAAGTGCCACCGAGCATCGACTACGTTTGCTCTTGGTAGGGGAACCGCATCGATGTAAGTGCCGGTGGATCTCCAAGATGCCATCTCTGCGTCCATGGCAACTATCTACTGAGAGGCCCGAAGTCGCCTCCGCGTAGGTGCGAGGGGTCGGGATGTCAAGAGCCTCTGGGTCACACTCAGGAGCTAGCGGCATGGAGCAGAGATATGGCGCGGCCTCCGCAAGGAAAGCTAGCTCGTACTGCCTGTCCTCTAGGACGTCACTGACAAGGGCAGGTGCACCCTTGGCGGACTGAGAACAGGCAAGGTCGGAGACCAGAGCAGTAGCGTAGTCAAGGCGATGGGTAGAGGCAAGGTCAGCGATGGCAGCAACAAGAGCCGAGAGACTAGAGACAAGAATTCATGGGCCGGTAACGAGAGAGGCCAGGATACTGGGAACAAGAGGGCGACCAGCACGGAGGAGGTCAGAGAGAGGAGGAGAGGACACAGCAAGGGATGACTGAGGAAGCGATGGGAGAACAAGAGCGAGAGGAGCACAAGACATATGAGAACGAAGTAGCATATGGTGGACACTCGGGACTGGCGAGACAGGGCGAGCAAGAGAGGGACCGTAAGACCAAAAGTGGGAGGGACACGTCAAGTAAGGTGACAAAGGAGGAGAATGAGGAGGAGAAAAGTGTGAGAGTCTGACCCTATTACACTCCTTTCTCATTCTCTTTTTTCTCCTGATTCACTTGGCCTTTCTCTCATCTCATTTGGATTCCTATTCCTCATTTTCCATTATCCTTTCGTTTATTCTATTATTATGATTATATCACCGACCAGGCTCGGGATGTACTGGCGCGCTATATCTAGCGTAATCCTGTCGTAATCTCTTAAAGCTAATAGCCCCATTTGGCTATACGCAGGGCGATTCTATTTCTAGAAGAGTCTATTCCCTTTGGATAGGATAAACCTGGTTACCTGATGTACCTTAGAAGTATAAATGCAGCTCGTACTCATAGATAGTGCAACATTTCCTCGACACATTCACCCCTGTGACACTTGGTAATTAGAGCTTTTCTCACTCAGCCGCGCTCACCTAAGCAGCAGAAGTGGGAAAACCTGCCTCGAAAAATCACAGGGGGTGACTAATTCGGCGCCGATTGCAATACGCACCAGTTAGGCATTTTTTGAATTACCACCTCCGCACATGTTTTGAACAGGATGGTGAACTTCGACAACGCCGACGTTACCCAGCAGCTCTTCGCAAACATCGCCCCCCCACAGCGGGAGATGCGAGCCGACCGCAAACCTTGGCGAAACGAGTTCGAGCGAGTAACTCGACTCGCCGGCGCGCAGCACGAAATGACAA